ATATTTATTTCTTTTTATTTATATTTCAAATTTATACACCGCCCATCTCACTCTATTTTTGGGTAGAGAAACTGGGAAAAGGCAGATGCAGTGGGGTGCAAAGGAGGGTTATAGGACAGATTAAAAAAAAAAGAAATTGGACTGATGCATTTCTCTCAATGTTTTCTGGAGTGCTAGGCATTCCATTAATTATTTTATTTTGAAAGTATTTTGTCTAGAACAATTGTGTAGAACAGTTTAAGGAAAATCAGAAGTGGCAAAGTACATTACACTACCAGGATATTTCTCTCTCTCTCTCTCTCTCTCTCTCTCTCTATATATATATATATTGTTCTTTAAATACTTGTTAATGTCTACTGTCTATGTGACAGCCCTTCAGACACTCGACGACAGGTGTCATGTCTCTGCACAGACTCCTCCAAGTGAAACATGCCCAATGCCTCCGACTATTCCTCATAAGTTTTTTGGGGGAGGGGCTGCTCTTGTCTGGATACATTCCAGTTTGTCAATAATCCTCCCTAAAACATGATGCGCAGAACTGGACACAGTATTCAAGATGCCATTTGACCAATGCAGAAAAGAAAGGAACAATGACTTTTCTTGGTAGCATATTCTGTTGATGCAGCCTAGGATTGCACTTGCTTTTTTTGCAGCTGCATCACACAGTTGGCTCTTACATACACAGGAAAAGTATCATCTTGGGGATATGGACAAATCTGTGCATAATGATGTTTGTATTTTGGGCAAGAAATTAAAGGTTATGGGAGGGCTGGCACAGTGCAGAGGCATCACTTCATGGAGTAGGAAGGGAAACCCAGGCTTAGATCTCGACTAAACCACAGAGTCTATCAGATACTGTAGGCAGAGAGCCGTACTAATCTATGGTTGCAAAAAATCAGGAATCCGGTAGCACCGTTTCCAAATGACATGTTTTATTAAAAGATATAAGTGTTCATCAGCTGGAGCTCACTTCATCAGATGCATGGAGAGGCTACACTGATGCAGGATTAAAATTGGGCGGGGAGGGGAGGGGAGGGGGAGAGAAGTTGGATATGCAGATATGTGAGTCAGACTACAAGTACTTCCTCAATTAACAATTGTAATGTATTGAAAACCCATTGTGTGTGTTGAGGGCTTTGGAGACTGGCTGAAACTTTTCTGGGTATGTCAATTGTTGGTCAAAAAAAGTGCTACCACCCTCTTGATATGAAATTCCATTAGGTGACTTTGGATGAATTTGGTCTTGCTCAGCCAGATCTAGCTCATAAGGATGTTGTGAAAAGAAAATGGAGAGAAAGGGGAGAGAGACCTACAGGAGAAGCACATAAAACAGTATTTGTATTTTTGTAATTGAGGATGTAAAGTCTAGATACTTCAGTGAGGAATGACATCAGACATGATCCAAGAAAAGCGACACCAGAGCAGTTCCAAACGGTGTTTGACGCCCTACCAGATGTCTTTTAATAGTAGACTGGAAGGTGGCATCTGATTTCGATTGCCTCATCTTGTGTTTTGTAGGACAGCCATGACACAGTTGCATTTGTTTGCCTATATTTTGGGAATGACCTATGGATGGTTCACAGGCCACAGCATCCAGAACGATTTAATAGCTGGACATTATTTTCCTGGATTAAAATTCACACATAGATAGATAGATAGATAGATAGATAGATAGATAGATA